ATAAAAAAAAAAAAAAAAAAAAAAAAAAAAAAAAAGAAAGAAAGAAAGAAAAAAAGCACTTCACTCAAATTGTTAAGGGGAGGCAGAGAGAGAAAGGGAAAAGAAAATTGGGCTTTGAAATTTGAACATGTAGTTGCTAGAGAGAGAGTGTGTGTGAAATGGAAAGAAGAGAAAAAGGTGTGGAGGGAGAGAACAAAAGCGTTGGATTAATGGTGGAAAAGTTGAGGGAAGGGGTTTTGGTGGGGAAAAAGGGAGGGCCTAGTACACCACCACCCACATGGAGACTTGAACTTCCATCTCAGCCCAGTGGTAATGTTAGTGACAAGGTTCAAGAGTTTCTTAACTTTCCCACTTCAACTCTTTCTGCTAGAAACCTCTGTGCCAACCTCTGGGAACTTCTGCCCCACCAACACACCCCACTTCCCAGAATGAACAAGCATGCCACTGGCACCACCCTCCGCCGCCGTTACCGCCATAATCGCCGCCGCCTGCACCATCCTAAGAATACAGCATCTGAAGTGGACAACAACCAATTGGCTGAGCCTCCAGATACCCCTTCTGATTCTGATCAGGTTTTGTCTCAGTTTATTTATGTTCATTTTTTTCCTTGCTAAAAAGGAAAAAAAAAAATTGTCCTTTCTTCCCCCATTGCTAGTTTTGCACTATTAAGCACTACCTACTTTTATTTTTTTGGAAAGGTGTCTTTTTTCCTCTTTCCCATGTATGATTTGCTTTTGTGCTAGTTCAGGAGAAGTGTCTTGAGGAATTTCTACTCTTGTCTTTTGTTGTTTCTTGCTGGCTTTAACTTCATCATACCTTATTGTTGAAGAAGATTTTGCTCCCTTGGGATCTGATTTTGTGGGTAGGGTGTCCCATCTGTTCAACTTAGTTCTATCACACACAGAGATGTGCCTTCCTTTTTCTCCCCATCATTTTGTTATATTCCTTTTCTTATGCCTTAGAAAGGGAAATTTCAGTTAAAATTTGGTAATGCTTTTGGTTTGTGACCTTGTGTATGTTCAAACAAGTGGTTTGGATGTGTAAAAGATACTGTGATTTAATTTAACTTGTCTTATCGTAGAATTATGTTGTTGACCTGGTCTTTGTTCCTTATTGTATGATTGATTCTGTATAATTCCACATTCTTTAACAGCTTTTTTCTCTCTCTCCATTTTGGAGCATTTAAGCTCAAGCACTTCTTCCAGCAGCGATTCTTTTGCTAAATCATTTCTCATAAACTATTCACCTACATTGTTGTTTGTATGTATAGTTTCTAAGTGAAGTTAGGAAGGATAGATCATAAACTAGCTGGGAGCTTCTTATGAGGTGGGTTGATTTTGTCCATAAAATTGCATTCCTCTGTGCTTCAATTTGGCTAAGATATGATCTATGGAATCTCTTTCGCTGAGATCCCTTCCACACCCATAGTTGGCATTGTTCCCATGGGTTGTTAATAAACCTCTACATATATTGTAGTTAGTTTAAGAAGTGCCTTAATTTCTTTTAGTTGCACAATAAATAGTTAGGATCATGCAACTGAATAAGTGAGAAAATAGATCATTTTGAGTGCTATTGTTGAATGGAGAAGAGAAATATCTATATAGTGTGTCTTTTTCTTTAGAAGATGTTTTTAAATTTTAAGACTGTGTTTGGTATCATGGTGGGAATAATATGAATTGATTTTGACTGCAGTCAAACTTAAATTTTTAAAAGTATATATGTTTGGTTACTATGAGGTAAAATTGATTGTATCAAAACCTCCATTTGACTAGAAGTGATAAAAAGTAGCTTTTGCATTGAGTTGAAAAATTTACACCAAGTTTTAGTGTAAACTTGCTTTCAGGATAAAAACATCCAAACATAAATCACTTCACTTAAAAATCAATTTTGCAAACATTCATCCAAACACACGCTAATATGTATTCTATTGAAGTGCTGACAGTCATCCTGTGCCTTGTTGCAGCCAGGATCAGCTAGTAGCTCAAGAAGGCATTTCGCAGCATCACTTGTTCAACATCGTAGATCAGTAGAAAGAAATGACTCTGCTGTACAGCCTGTATCCCCTGCTTGTTACAGTAGCTCAGCCTCAGTGGACGTAAGCATATTTTTATCCATTTGAATCTTGAGCAGCAGTTCAATGTCATATTTTCATTGTTCTAATAAATGAGTTTGGCAGTTTTATAGCTTTAAACATATTTCTATAAATATGAATGTTTAAATGATAGGGATACTGCCTGTAACCTTTTGGATTCTTCAATTTTGTTTCTCATCTGTTCTTGACTTCTTGTCATTGGCTTTTTCTTTGTAGGGGACATTATTTCTTAATTCCGGGGGTGTTAGTTCAGTTGTAGGAACATTATTTCTTATGATTATCATGTGCAACACTTTGCCTAATAACAAATTTTGTAAAATCTATTAGTATCAAAGCAGGAGACAGAAAAATGATATACTTCATGTAATGGGATACATATTCTGGTAATAGTTGTAGTTATATGTCATTACCGTACTGTGGACTAATTGAGACTAATTTGAAATGCTTCTCATAATCCACCATTAAAGGAAAATGACAATAATTAGAGCAGTCTGTTTTTGCTCCTTATGTCATAATATAATTTAAGTATTGAACTTGAACATGTATTCCACAATTTTTCTATCTTGGTTTTTGAGCATTCTTCCAGCATTTGTTCAAGTTGTTTAGCTTGAAATTTGATGGGATTAAATGATGGATTTCTACCAAGATAATGTTACAACAACAATCTCCGAATCATTTAAAAAGTGAAAGATAAATCATTTGATGATTTCTTAGTTTTTGATTTGAAGCACTGAAGTTGATTAGTCCGAACTTCACACCTTAATTTAGTCATTATGCATATATATTAATGCATTTCTTCAAAAAATTATGTAGATCTGACAATGTTTAATATGTTTTTTCATCCTTTGGAGATTGTATAAAATGATGTCAATGCTATTTGGTTTAAACAGGTAGCACCATATAAATGTGCAGTAACCCCCACAAGCTCTGTAGACTTCAAAGGTAGGATTGGAGAGTCAAGTTACAACCTTAAAACGTCCACAGAATTACTTAAGGTACTCAACCGTATTTGGAGCCTTGAAGAACAGCAGGCATCAAATATATCAGTAGTGAAAACCTTAAAAATGGAACTAGATCGGTCTCAGGCACGGATAAAGGAGTTACTACGAGATAAACAAATTAGTAGGCAGGAAATGGAGAACTTAGTAAAGCACTTGACAGTGGACAAGCTTATCAGGAAGAACAAAGAACATGATAAAATTAAAGCTGCAGTTCAATCAATCAAGGAAGAGCTAGAAGATGAGAGGAGGTTACGACAACATTCAGAAAACCTGCATCGGAAGCTGGCTAGGGAGCTTTCTGAAGTCAAGTCCTCCTTCTCAGGTTCTTTGAGAAATCTTGAAAGAGAGAGAAAAGCACGAATCCTTTTGGAGAATTTGTGTGATGAGTTCGCCAAAGGAATAAGAGATTATGAACAAGAAGTACATTCTCTTAGACGGAGTTCTGAGAAGGGTCAAGGTCAGGGCCAGGTTAAAGGGAGTAATGGCCTTGATAGGCTTATACTTCATATTTCAGAAGCTTGGCTTGATGAGCGCATGCAGATGAAGCTAGCTCAATCAGACAGTGATCTCATAGAGAGAAATTCAATTGTTGACAAGTTAGGTTTTGATATTGAAACATTTCTTCATGCCAAACGATCGGTTGATTTGAAAAAATACGGCTACTCCTCACCAAAGGAGCTCAAGGAAATTCACCCTTGTCAGCATTCATTGGATTCCTTCCCACTAAAAGAGGCTGGAAGTGCACCTCATAATATGGCTCAGGAAGATTCCATTGACACCGACTTTTTTGAACCAAAAAGGGCTGCTGGTGAAGGACTGCACAAATTCAGCTCCAGATTGCATTCAAACATGGACAGGAACATATCATGGGATGATAATGAGAGTTGTTTTGTGGAGAGGAAATCAAGTGAAATGGAAGAATTACCAAATGAAGAAGAGACCAAACATGATCCACACGAGAGTGATGGACCATGGATCCTGAGAATGAACTCCAGTCACAGGCCAGATAACGTGGTTGGAAACAGTTCCTTGTCATCAGAAGGTGATAAGGTTTATCCTGAGAGCATCTGCAAGGAAGATTCCTATGTCCACTCTGCAGTTACAGCTAATGGTAGTCCTCTAAAACTGTGGAAATCAAAGTTGAATGTTTCAGATTTTGACAAGTCTGAGTCTTCTACCAAATTGCCAAAGGGAGTAAAGGAAAACACATTGATGGCAAAACTCCTTGAAGCAAGATTAGAGGGACAGAAATCTCGCTCTAGAACCAGCAAAAGCACTTCTTGATCAACTAGAGAATAGCTGCAATGAGATTTACTGTAGGGTCTTTCGTCAAATTCTAGTAACCATCTTGTACACATGAATCTTTCAGCTATGTACATGGTTGGATGAAAATCAGATTTGTATCATGTAAAAGATGTTTGATCTCACTGTGCCTACCAAGTGCTGGGTGGTATTAGTGATTTGAGATATGTAGAACTGACCTTATTTTCCGAAATTCCACTAGATATAGCCCAGAATCATGACATTGAATCACAATCCCATGTGTAGAAAATCAGAGATCATAACTTTCGTTATTTTTTTTCAGAGTTATGCATCATTTGTGTCAAAGGATTTTACCCCGACATTGAATAGAAATTAACCATTTAGTCATATAAGCACGCTCCTTAAAAATGTTATTTTAATATTAAAACAACTTTTAAAATAAAAACGTAAGTTACTCAATCATGCTCAATCAATTCGGTGTTGTTGTACCTTCGTCTCCTTTGCTGAAAGTTTTCACATTTCTTGTGCCTTATGCTGTTGGAGTCCATCTTCAAAGAGCCGTGATTATTTGTGAAGGGTGGTGGTTGCTACCAAGTGGTTAACATTGAAAACCCCTGAAATTCACCACCCAAATGCTCCAGTATACTCCCTATTTCGCTCTTATTCAACTTGCTCAAGTCTCTCCCTCCTAAGTCCTAACCATGATTTTGCCTTTTTGCTCTCATCAATTGTGCCTTCTTTCTTCGTTGCTGTATTGTTTACCACTTTCTTCTTCATTACATTTTTTCCCTTTGCTCTTCTCATCAGACCATTTCATTGAGCTTGCACATTGTTAGTGATTCCTAGTAATTAGCTCAACAATTCCCCATTTTGTGTATTTCTCATTTGTTCTTTTTGTCATGAGTGGCATGATCAAGGTTTTAAATTGCAGTCACAGTTTTATCATAGTCCTTGAAATTGTGGGAAAATGTGATTGATGCAATTGTAGAGATTCCAAAAACGCTTTTGACATTGCGGCAGACTATTTTTTAAAACCTTGGATGTGATAGTGACATTTTTGGGCACTTTTTTTTTTAATGAACAAAGTATTGGAAGAAAGAATTTTGGGTGAATTGAAAGTTTGAATCTTTTAGGCCTCTAAATTTCCTCCATTCATTTACGTACATAACCCCACTTTTGAAGTTTAGATACCATAAAAGTCAAAATGGCAATTTGTGTGTCAACAAATTTTGCACCTTTAGTACTAGAAATTCAGCAGGGGTGTTGACGGTTGGAGAAAGAAAACTGACCGAGAATTACCCTAGGAGAGCTTGTTTCATGAAAGTGTATGACCACAAGAATGGGTTTTCCGATGGCATCCAAATGTGGGGTTTACTTCAAGTTAAGTGTTAAACCAATTCCCAGTGTCAGTTCGTGTCATATAGCCAAGGTGTTATTCTAGAATTACATCCTGAGGCGTCAATGCTTATAGGAGATGAAATTCGTAGAGTTTGTCAAGTTAAGGCCGAATGTCACAAATTCCATAGTTTAACCCAGGTCATTATCATTTTCCACCATATTCTAAGGACTAAAGTTTCTCTTGGCCTTACCTAATTTGCAAATAGCTGTAGAGTGTAGGGTCACCATGTACCACACTCATCATTTTATAAAACAGAGAAAAAAATATCTTTTTTCTATTCTTCAAATTTCAGAACAGACATAATTCAGTTTCAAGCTCCTTTCAAGTTTTGATGTTATGCTATAACAATGACCTCAACAGTGTGCCTGAGACATTTCATTCCAAAGGACGAAGTTTTTCTTCTGAACTACTGCTATTACTTTGTAGCTTGCCCGTTATTCAATGGGAAAGGTAACAATTTTCATTTCGTTTTGCTCTCCTAGGACTTCCGTTTCCCCTCTCTGATAAATGGTCTTTCTAAGCTGTTTCTCATCTGTTTATTTTACTTTTAATTACTTCAATATCAACTCAATTTCAGCATGGTATATTAAGGAGTAGTTTTCCGGTGCATTAACGTGTAATTGGAGTACAACCTAGATCAATACTAACTCCATAGATCTGTACAAAGGCAAAGGAACGAAACCTCATATATTCATTTTCAATCTTTTAAAATTTAAACTATTGAGTACTACTGAGAGTGTATAGTATAGAATATATAACCAATTATATGTGCCTAAGCCTAAGTCATTTACAAGAGGCAATCTGTAGCAATTCTCAAAATAAAAACGCTCAGGTAGTGAGTACAAACTACACAATACTAAATATAGAATTTACTCATGTCATATTTTCAAATTTGTCATAATACATTATGTACTTACCAACTCAAACAATAGTATCAAGCAACTCAAATTCAAGTTCGTATCTTGGAAACTTTTTCACTTGTGGAGCAAACCCGTCAAGACAGGTCGCAGGTGTATGTCATTCGTCCAAGAATTTAGCTTTATCAACTAACGGCTATTTCTTAGACATGTTGTTTTGTTGTGTAACTGTCAACAAATAATCACTTGTGTCATAAGTATGATTCTTGAGTTGTGAGGGAGGGAGAGAACAGAAATTGATTCAACAAGACCATGCTTTGAATTTGGAGCCAGTAAAATATTCAATAAATAAAGAAATTTTTCCAAAGAAATGCAAGTAAGGTCTGGTGTCCTAGAATAAGAGAAAACATTAGAAATTACATTTCTATTTAGCCGAGAGAAATAAAAAACATCAGTTCTTCAATAGAACCCATGATCTATTAAGACAAGATATAAATAAGCCTTTACTAATTTATTGACTTATTTGAGTTTATTAAGCAACAAACCTCCAAGTACTTTCGGCTCTAGTGAAGAAGAATGTGAGAAGCCTGCCATTTGACTGTTGAAACAAGAACAACAGAAGGTGATATGCAATCTGATTTGATAAAAAATAAAGAACAGAAGTTATGATCAGTAATCTGCTACTTGCTTTGATAAAAGCATTTTTTAATTCCTTCAAGACAAGAAAAGCAAGGAATAAGCTGTCTTAACTTGAACTAAAAGGAAGAAACAACTCTGAAACCATCAAATTATGAACAATGATCAACATATTTGCTGATCATAAGACATGTTGGCATTTTATCATTAGAACAAGCATATAAAAGAGCCATTTGAAACAAACCGTGAATGTCAATCACAGAATTTCAAGATGAAAACAAGAATTGACAGATAAGATGGATGAAGAGTGTGATTATAAAAAGATACTGCCAACTTGTATTAACTACCAAGCCTAAAAAGCTTATGATTTGGAGGACTGATGACCACAGGCTAAAATAGTTGTCTATGTTCTTCAAAGGTTGATTAGTATATCATATAAGATTGCCAACTTCCAAAACAAATGTATTCTTATCCTAGTTAGTTTGAACGTATTGTGCTTTACAATGTACTAAGCAACTCCTATATGGCTTTACAAATCTTGCATCATAAAAATATACTAGAAGGATATATGTACCCAGCTGTATGTGTAAAAATAGAAAAAGAAAGACATATTACTGAAGTTGTTGATTAGATCACACCATGCTAGCATGCAGAGATTACATTTGTAGTGTTTAGGAAGATTATATTTAAAAACTGGGACAGGGCTGCTAATAGGATCATTTGTGAATTGATGGTTAATATTAAGCAGGCAAGTAGCATGGGGTGTAATTTAATGATTAAAAGTATAATTTTTACATCTTGAATCAAATCTTTGGAAAGGAAACAAGAATATTAGGAGCAATATAGATAATGCTTCTATTTTTATTGCAGTTGACTGCACTTTGGCTATGCACCAATTTTTTGTTGGTTTTTTTAGTTGGGGAAGCGGCTTGCACTTACCTTCTAATTCTATATGTCAAATTTTCAATTTGTCCACGGTTATTTATTCAAAGGAATGCAGTTAAATGTAGCTTAATTTGCATGTTCAATGAAGGATGTTATAGTAGTATATTAACCTCAATTGAAGTTACCAATAGGATATATGAATATATCTAATTATCCTGACAGGAACACAACTTCCTAAACTTCTCAAATATATAACATTAAAATGACTCTAATAACCTCCTTAATTTTTTTATTTTCTTGAGCCTCTAGCTCATCTTCAAATCCCACTTCCCCTGTCAAAAATCAAAGCAACAATAAAAATTTACCTTTGCCAACTTTACTAAGCTATTGTGTTCTCAGGAACAGTTATCCATAACTTAACTGACCTTGGTGGCAGAAGTCAGTCCTAACTTTTTTCTTTGCTACAAGTGGCTGCTCTTTTCTCTCACCGGATCATTTGTATCATGAAGCGCATAACATGTATGATTATCATAAAATCCAAATTAATTGAAGTTGTGAGCATGGAGACAAAATACTAACCTCCAAAAGTAACACAGCAATAAAATAGTCAAAAAGCAGCCCAGATATAGAATACCAATTGAAAGCTCTTTCCAGGGGATTGCATAACAAAAGCGGCAACAATGTTTTTCACAACATGAAGAGGCTTCCCATACAGGAATCATCAAGAGATAACAAGATCAATACCTGACTTAAATCATGATCAATATTAGCAGCAACATGGTGGCTCCATGTAATCTGCTCACTCTGTTGCATTCGAGAAGCATAAGGCAAAAAAGATGTAGAGAAGACGTCCAGAACAGAGGAGGAGAAGGCACAACAGATGATTGGTTAGTGAAACTAACTTCTTTTTTTTTTTTTTTTATAGCTTTTTTTAGCTTTTAATTCAAAGTACATATTTTTATTGAGAATGCTAACAGATCTAATTGGTGGAATTCTATTTGATGTCGGTGTAAAGAAGTTTTACACTGAAATTGCATAAAGACTTGTTGTAAATAGACCTCTCTATCTCTTTGTATATCCACTTAATACACTGATTTGAAGCAATCTTTAGCTGAGCACTAAGCAACAAAAAGGTAAGAAGGGATCTGTCTTAGAAAATTCTAGCATTCCACTCCAACTAAAGGCACCAAATAACAGCAAACAATGCAGAGCAAGCACACTGCACGCCATTGAAGGGGCATGGTGCATTGTCCTTCTATATTATTTAAGTTCATTGTTAGATTTTAAATATAGCATACTTCTATTTCATACAATAGTATAATACCAGTAACAGGCTCTTAAATATGGAGTAACAACTCCCAAGCTAGCATCCTCAGAATGCAGTAAAAAATAGATAAAGAAGCCAAGAGAAAGACACAAATTATGAGGAAAACAGAAGAGGTGCAAGTTATGTTCAACCAAGTCAATAAAGCATCAGATCGACACTGCACGTCTTGTAACCATTTAAAAGATCATAATTTCATTTGCAGGGTACCAAAGCAAGTGAAAAACTTCAATGTCACAAAATTGTGGAAGCAACATCAGAATCCTTCCACAGTCTTGATTCTCATCCTAAAAACAATCATACTATCAATGAGAACTAATGAAATTTATAATTGTAAAAAGCCACAATATGAGAACATATTGTTCTCTCACAATTATTACTAAATATTAATACAACTTAAGAATACCATTAGAAAGACTCAGAATTCACTTCTCACTCAACCATCTAATTTACTTTAATGTGAAGCAGAATCAAGAGGGGTTTGGTTTCTTGAGCGAGCATGATGCTTTAAAAGCCTCAATCTGTGACTGACATTTGACATAGTCTCCCTTATTCTCTTCCAAGCACTTCTTCAAAGCCTCAACATCACATGATGATATTATTTTCTTCACACTGCTGCCATCCCCTGCTTTCTGATCCATAATCTCACTTAAGAATACAATGCTTCTGCTTCTGCATTTTTACATCAAATACCAACTAATTAAATCAAAATAACCATATCACAGACAAAAAAATAAAAAAGACTAAATTTTGGAATTAAATAACAGCACAGCATAAGCATCGAGTAATCCAGTCCATTGTTATGTCACTTAAATTGCTTGAAAATAGAAAAAAAAACAACAGAAAATCTGTAGTGAAGGAGGAAGCAAAATGTCGTACCGCGACGGCACGGTGCTTCGATGTAATTGCTATATTCTAATATTACGTTTGTATCCTATTTAATGGATTTATATCTAAGAATTAATAAATTTACGTAGTATTCGAAATAATTTTATAAGATTTTTAAGATGATATGGATTTGTAAAAATAATATAATTAATAAAAAAATAACATCAATAATAAAATTTGAATAAAAAAATAAAATTAATATATTTTTTAATAAATAATTGATATTATACACATATAATCTTTCATACATTAATATTTTTTTTATTTATGTTATTAAATTTAAATAATATATTTAAAATTATAATATTGTTATCTTCATTTCTATATAAAAAACTGATTATCTAATTCATTAAAATTTAGAAAAGTAATTAATTTAATTTATAATAATACAATTGTTCTATTTATATATATTTTTAAAATTACTCTTATATTAATATTATTTTTCTTTTTTAATTAATACTTTTATATTATTTCTCTTTGTAAAAACTAATTAGAGCATGTTTTTATATTTTTTTCTCTCTTAATTAATATTCACCTTTTATCTAATTGATTTGAGTGCAAATTTTATATAAAAAAAATTATAATTAATATATCTTATCAAATTAAGAATACACGCTTTAATTAAGAATATTTTATTCTAAAAAATTTATATAAAAGATAATATAAATTAGATCTTGTATAAAAGAATAAATAATTATTTTAAATTACATTTTATAAATAAAAATAGAGTATTTATTATATGACAAATTTTTAAAAATGAGTTGACATGATAGATTAGTTCATTGATTCAATAAACTTGTAAGTCACAATACTTCAAACCTTTTTAATATTATGTCCAAAAAGATTGGGTTAATTTGGCCCAATATTACAAGTTAATTAGGTCAGATTCAGCTAATAAAAATTAAACCTAAAAGATATTGTACCTATTTGATTTGATGAATTTTTATTTTATATTATTAAAAACAAATATTCAAGTTATCTTTTTTTTTTGACAATTAAGAGAAAAATAAAACAAAAAGCTACAAAAACAATAACACCAAAACTAACTATCTCTCGGAAAAACAGTTCCCAACACATCAGCCCTTAAATTAGACTTCAATGAATCTGACAGTTCCAGAAAGACCTCCAAAGAACTAGTTGACATCACCCCTATCTTAGCAAGAATATTCGCACATTGATTGTCCTCACCAAACACATGCACCACGTTGCACTCTGAGTGAGGATAATCTCATTTCCAAACAGATGATGAATGTCTACCAACCCTTTTGATCAAATGCACTGCAACCGAAGAATCTGAATAACAAAGTATCTTATAATAACCCAAGCTCCAGCAAATATGTAACCCATGCAACAAGGCCATGATTTCTGCATACAAGATATCCACCTGATGGGCTTTCCCATGAAGCCCAAATAAAAATTTTCCTTGCCAATCTTTGCCAAGTCCCCCAATAAGCTACCATCTACATTAAAAGCAATGGTGTCCGTTGAGGGGGAATCCATTTAACTCCAATATATCTATGATGCCTGATGCACCATAGCCTCCCTGAATGCTCGATCCATGTTATATATGTTTCAATGCACAAACCTTCATTGCTAAATCCATGCACGAGAGCTCTTTATTATCAAATACTAGTGAGTTGCGAGGCTTCCATACATGCCACATGACAATAGGGACAAGAGTTCCATACTGGAAAGTAAACTCCCTCAACCAAGTCAGGCCATTCTCTTCCACATCATCTGGCACCTAACCCACACTTGGACCAGAATGTAGTAACATGAGGACATGTTAACAGACAAAGAAAAATACTTTCAAGGATATATGGGCACCGAGGACAAAAAACAATATCCCCTATATAACTATATTTGGATGTGAGATGACCCTCCTGACAAGTATTGCTAGTTGAAAAACCTGCCATGTAAAAAATTGAACACCTGCTAGAAGTTCCATCTTCCAAATCCACCTCCAAGTATAACTATATAAAAACAATACAGAATTTTAGTGTACACATTTTTTAAGGATGTTTTTATCCTTTTTCTTTATGATTATTACACACTTCTTTTTTATAAAAGGATAATTCAGTAATTTCATTTTGTTCCACTGTAACAAGTCCCACATCGGGGAGGTCTCCTTACCAGGGAGGCCTTATAAGGCGGGAGGTTCTCCAACCTCTTGGGCCGGCTTTTGAGGGATGGTTCCCCTCCTTAGCCTTATGCTCGTTACAATGGTGCTTTCGTTGAGAGCCAGCCAAATCGAGAAGGGCTACCCACGGAGGGTTCTGACCATCGGAGGGTTCTGACCGGCAAGGGCCGAGTGAAGTGCCGATGAGTGAAGTACCGTGGAGTGCAGCCATCGAGGACGCTGGCTTTCGAAGGGGGTGGTAATGTAACAAGTCCCACATCGGGGAGGTCTCCTTACCAGGGAGGCCTTATAAGGCGGGAGGTTCTCCAACCTCTTGGGCCGGCTTTTGAGGGATGGTTCCCCTCCTTAGCCTTATGCTCGTTACATCCACACTCCTTAATAAACTATACACTCCACACTTATTTGGTAACTTCCACACATATTCTACATAATATTAATAACAAGACATAGATTATTTTCGCTAATATATATATATATATATATATATATATATATATATATATATATGAATAACGCTAATACAATACTCTTATTATTTATATGAGGAGGGTTCAAACAACACTAGTATAATTTTTATTAAGTATTACATCGATCAATAACTTTATATTAAATGTAAATTTTATAAATTCAATTGTTAGATTGAAAGTTCAGATTATTTTATATGTGTATATCAAATTTTATTAAAATTGAACAACAACTTGAAAATATAATCAAAGTGTTCATATTTTATTATATTTTAAAATATATATTATGTCAATTTTATTTTATAAAAATAAAATATCAAATTATCTTGGATTAATATAAAATTTTGTATATATAAACGTAAAGAACTTTTAATCTAATGATTAAATTTATAAAATTTATATTTAATATAAAGTTATTGAACAGTGTAATACTTAATATGTTATTGAACCATCCTCTCTCTATATATATATAT